GGAGAGATCGGGATGAAGGGAGCCTTAGTTTCAAAGCGCCTCCTGTAGCTGGTGTACAGTGAAATGCAGGGAGAAAAAACAACCCAGCCCTTGGGGACCGGCGGCCTCCATCTTTGCTTGGAATAAAAGATCCAGTTTTGCGATTTCAAGTGCAGCTTTTTGGTTCTGCTCTTCGTTGTCTCCTCCGGCTTCTGCTCGCTGAAGGTCCGCACCTCCGACTGGCTTGCTGTCCGAGTGGCCGCGGGCTGCTTTTTTGGCAGGCCGCCTTCCTTTGTTCTCGCTCCTCTTCCTGCCTTTCCTTTGTTCCGCCTCATTAACTTATTTCCAGCGTGGCTGCCGCGTCGCACTGTTTACTACTCGACCGTACAGTAGTTGCGTGCCTTGTACTATAACTTGTCACTCCCGAGGACAGGCAGCAGAGCATTTGAGAATGGAGGCTTGGTCGGAAGAGATCCTCCTCCCTCCCCATTTTAAATCCGAAATTAAATGCTATAATTTGATTGCAGTGCCAACTCAATCACCTCAGTACTAAGAGGAAGCAATTGCCTTTTTAAACAGGAGCAGATCAACTGTTGGCACTAGAAAAGCATTCATTCATTACCCCATAGTGACAATAACACTTGTCTAACAATTGCAAAATCTATAATTATATTCCTGTACATTATCCAAGCAGAATATTGGTCTAGATCAGGCAATACATACATTTAATTATATATTTTATACGGCCCAAGATGATTCCTGTTCTCTCAGGCAAACCAAAAGGTTGGACAGCCATGCTCTAGAATTATGAAATGGGTGGATATTGTACCACAATCTAGACACTCGATTGTGGTACAGTATCCACCCATTTCATAATATAAAACACATTGAGTGTTATCAGGGGACCTTGAAATTTTGTCTCTCCCTCTCTGAACTTTGAGTCAGTATAGCAGTTCTAATTCATCCTGCTGTAACAGTTTTCTTTCCCTAGGAATAGGGAGGGATATTTCCCAAAATACTACATAGAAAATACAAACACACCTCTCTTTCCTATCTGCTGAATAGGGAGCAAATTTCTCTTGAGTCAAGTGACATAAAAAGTATCAAAGATATCAGAGAGGCCATCTTAATGTACTTATTGATGAATTTGTACTCCTATCTACTTTCTAGGGTTCAGTAAGTTAGCCCCCTTTTCCTGCCAATAAACTGGCTACTGAGGCATCAGCCACACAGTTGCTTGCTGTGTTCTTCTCTCTGAGTCAGCAGGAAATTACACTGCCCTAAATCATGCTGTAGTCTCCATAATGCACTTTTACTGTTCTCAAGAAACAGGGCTGGGTTACTATCCAAACAACTTTCACAAGCAAGTTCTACGGTTGTGGTTTCCCCGGCTGAAATTCCAGTCCCACCCAACATCCACCATGAGACAAATTTATCATGTTAGCATTTTGGTAACTATGCACGATCATGTTTTATTTTCTGTCATATGTTGTGTAGTTTCTTTATATGTATGTGTGTTAAATACCTGTGTGTTTATATATCTATATGTATATGTGCATACATATATCTATAAGTACTTATGTATATATGTATACCTATATACACACATACATATACACACATAATGTATATATGTATACCTATATACACACATACATATACACAC